ATGACCCAGGTAAGGTATCCTGTTTTGTGTTTTAATAAAATAGAAAAGTATCAGTGGCAGAACATGAAAAGTGTTGCTGTAAGGCGCATTGTTTAGCCTTCCTTTGCTGTCCACTCACAATCTGTGTTTGGATTGCTCTTCAGATAGCAGTAGACAGGCGGTGAAGAGGTGTTGTATCTCCTTCTCACTGCCTGTTTTAACCCCCTAATTTCTGGACTATTCACTTGACCGGCACCATTCACTTTATTGGGTTGCACTCAACCCACTGAGTACAACAGAGTTTAATACTTGCCACAGCCATGAAGCAAAGCATCATGGCCACAGCATGTGTACGTCCTAGGCCACTGCCTCTGCAGCAGAAGGGGGAAGCGGTTAAGGGATAGTAAAATGCAGCTCAACCACAGGGTTTTATTGCCCTTCAATTGCTAGTGTGAACAAGGCCTTACTGCTCAAAAAGTGTTAGCTGGAGTTTGGTTTCAAAATGTTTAGCATGTCTAAATTTGCATTATTATTATACAGGATTTATATAGCACCAGCAATTTGCACAGTGCTTACAGCTGACACTACCAACCCCCCCCCCCCCCAGACTGACAATGCTCCAGTCCAAATGTGTTCTCTATTGCTCATTCATCCAGAGTGTAGGCACTCTAATACAGGAGATGTGTTACTGGCCAGAACACCAGGTGAAAACAGTAGGGAAAAAATTAAAACGAGTGCAGCCACCACATCTCATGATCTCATTTTTGGTTTTGGGTATTACAGCTTGAATGCTCTGCAATTTTGTTTAACTAAGTACTGTACATTGTGGAGCAAGTGTATGCCGGCATTTTACCTCAAGGAATAATTGGACAGGCTTCAATTTATCTTAAATTGTATTACATATGCTGAGGCTGATTTACTTAAAATAAAGACAAGAATGGATAAACCACAAGTATGCGTTTGGATCATGTGCTTGCATGTGAGTGGCCATGCGCCATAGTTTGCTCACGTCTGATTGTGAATCATGAGCCCAACTAATCATGTATATGGTGTGGTCCTAGTTTGCCATGCTTGTTCATGCTGCTTTTATGCCCCTTGTTCCTATAAGGTGCCCTACAGGTTACACATGCCAAATGTTTTTTAAAATTAAGCTGAAATAAAATATTTCTGACTTTCCATACAATGAAACAGACATACACAAGCTAAAAGGCAAAAAAAAAAAATTGGTGCTGTCATACTAAAAAGGTGTAAGTAGTTGTCATCGGAATTTGTATTCCCAGCACCAATGTATCAATTCTCATACCCTTACGTGTGCTTGTGTGCTTCAACTTAGCTTGTGCAGTATGATACCTCTCCAGGTATGTTCTCTAATACTTTATACATACTAAGGCTTACAGTCTTCTCTCTAGCATTTTTATTAGCATTCACTTCTTCAAAATGCAGCTCCCTGGTTTCCCCCCCTTTGCTGAGCTGACCACCTGCTCCACGTTAGCTCTACAAAACCTTCTTGGTCCTTGTGCCTGGCACATGTGTAACCTACACTCTGTTTGCGATATTAGATGCCGCTCAGCAAAGATGGCTGCAGGGGAAGTGCATTTTGGGTAGGTATGCATGGACGTCTCATTTAAAAGCTTTTAGATGTTCTAGTTTTACCTCATCATCCAATGCTAGCAAAACCTTTACTAAACTCTTTCAGTGTGTTCAAGCTATATCACATTTACATTTTTTTTTCTGTTTTCAGAATCTGACAGCGGTGAAGAGCAACAAACAAATAATGGTTTAATAGTTGTTCCGAGGCAGGTGACCTCTGGACTGAGTAATCTCATTTCTAGTTATGGGAGTGCATCTGACAGTGACCCTGATGGTAAGCTTTTTCCTTTTTGATCAAGCTAATGAAAGTGGAAAATACACCTATTGTGTATGTAGAGGTGTTTCATTTAACAGCTATTTCACCTGTGGTTGGTGTTTTTGTTTTTTTTGCACTTTTCTCATGTGTCCTTGATAAATGTGTGCATAAAACGTGGTTAGGTTGCATGCTGTTAGTCTGTTAGTGGCAGTTCACCAGGTGCTTAGTGATTTCAACTTTTGTTTAGTTTAATAGCTATCAAAAAAACCTTAGGACTACATCACTATACCAAGATTATTCCAGTCATAACAGATCATCGGTGCTGGACTAATTATGGTTTATTTACTAAAGCTGGAGAGTCCAAAATCAGACTCCAATGTCATCAGACAAACCAATCGGCTTCCAGGTTTCATTGCCAAAGCTTAATTGAACAAGCTGAGGTTAGAAGCTGATTGGTTTCTATGCAGAAGGGAGTCTGATTTTGGACTCTCCAGCTTTAGTAAATAAACCCCATAGTGTCTAGAAACTGTGCAGTTTGGGAAAAAAAAAAAAAAAAAGTGATGTGTAATGAGTATAGTCAATCTTTTTAATCTGTCTACCATGCACTGGCTCCCTCTGCTGGAGATTTATATCCACACATGACTAGATGGTATATTTTGCCATTGATTTAACCACTTGACCTCCGAAAGATGCACCCCCCCTCTCATGACCAGGCCATTTTTTTGCAGTACGGTGCTGCATTACTTTAACTGACAATTGCGCGGTTATGCAACGCTGTACATCAAATTTATACTGAACGACATATCAGACTGGATGTCGCTCCACTTCCTTAAACTGAACCTCTCCAAAACCGAGCTCCTAGTCTTCCCCCCTGCCCGCACATCACCCCCCCCCCCCCCATTGACTTCTCCATCACGTCCAACAATGCGCAGGCCAGAGTACTTGGTGTCATTCTGGACTCCAACCTATCCTTCCAGCCCCAAGTCCAATCATTAACAAACTCATGCAGACTTCACCTCCGCAACATCACCAAAATCCGCACTTTCCTAACCCCAGAAACTACTAAGCAGCTCATCCACCCCCTCATATCACAACTCAATTACTGCAACTCCCTTCTCAGTGGCCTGCCTCGCCACAGGCTATCCCCGCTTCAGTCGATCCTGAATATGGCAGCCAGACTCATTCACCTTACCACCGCTCCGTTTCCGCCACCCCCCTCTGCCAATCCCTCCACTGGCTTCTGATTGCGCAACGGATCAAATTCAAAATCCTAACACTGACGTTCAAAGCTGTCCACCATAGTGCCCCAAATTACATCACCGACCTAATATCCAAGTACCACCCAACACGCACACTCCGCTCCTCACAAGACCTCCTTCTCTCTAGTTCCCTGGTCTCCCCCTCCCATGCCCGCCTCCAGGATTTCTCCAGGGTGTCACCCATCTTCTGGAACTCCCTGCCCCAACCCATCAGACTATCACCTACTCTCCTCTCCTTTAGGCGCACCCTGAAAACCCATCTCTTCAGGGAAGCCTACCCCACCCCCTGCTAATTTGCCAACCTTCTCCACTCTTCCTACCACTCCATCCCCCACAGCTATCTCCTCCTATACCACTATCCCCTCCCTCCTAGATTGTAAGCTCGAAAGAGCAGGGCCCTCGAACCCCTCGTGTATCGCATTGTATTGTTACTGTACTGTCGCATGTTCTGTCCCCCTTTGTAATGTACAGCGCTGAGTAAACTGTTGGCGCTTTATAAATACTGTATAATAATATAATAAAAATATAATTTTTTTTCACCACAAATAGAGCTTTCTTTTGGTGGCATTTGATCCTCTGGCTTTTTCATTTTTGCACTATAAACGAAAGCAGCAAAAAAAAAAAACAGTATTTACTTTCTGCTATAAAAAACCCAAATTTTTTTCATACATTTAGGCTAAAATGTATTCTGCTACGCATTTTTGGTAAAAGAAATCCCAAAAAGCATATATTGATTGGTTTGTACAAAAATTGTAGCGTCTACAAATAACGGTGTTTATATATACTGGAGTTTTTTTTTTTTTTTTTTTTTGGTTTTTATACTAGTAATGGCAGCAATCAGCGACTTCTTGCAGGACTGCAATGTTGCGGAGGACAGTCTGACACTAATACAGTAATCAGTGCTAAAAATATACACTCTCTGTATTAATGACACTGGCAGGGAAGGGGTTAAATATCTAGGGTGCTCAAAGGGTTAGTTGTGTGCCTAGCCAGTGTTTTTGTGTTTACTATGTGCTGTTTTTACCGAACAATCTGCTAGATTTTGTTACCTGAATAAAATGTAGCAGGTCGCTGCTGACAGAACACAGCTCTGCCTTATTTACATAGGCAGAGCTGTGTTGTGTCAGTCTCCTTGGTGATGGGTTGCCGGCACTCATCCATTAACCGGCACCTCTGGATCGGCGCGCTCCGGCGGCGCACCCTCTGCCACATGTGGTGAAAGTGCAAAATCATGTTTATATGCATGATTTTGCACAGAATATCTGCCCTGTAGCCGTAAATCTGCTATAGGGCAGACTTAAAGTGGTTAATGAGATTGCACTGATCATCTGTAAAATTGTTTTCTGCTCTGTCTATACCAATAATGGTTAATTTGACTGTTATTTGGTACTGCATGTAATTGCTCTTTACAATTTAAATATTTTTTTTTTTCGTTTACCTTTTTGATTTGTAAATGCACTTTACACAATAAATAAGTTTCACATAGCAGACAGATTTTTAGGCTTCATAATTTCTCCCCCCACCCCCAAGTCTGTGAATGGGTACCTCAGTTGGAGTTTAATTTTAATTTATCTTCATTCTGGCAGGATAGATGATGTACATCATAAGAGTCTCATGTAGGGCAGGTAGATATCAGTAACAAATAGGTTGCTGCTGTTCAACTGTTAGTATTTGCTTACAAAGTCCCACTTGGTGTTGTGTTTGCAAATGGCATGGTATAAGTTTCTGTTCCTCTTTGAATTCTAATCCTAAAGTTTGCTTTTTCTCCCTATTTTTATCATATTGAACTGTTTTGTTGAACTCTGCTCTTTTTTGTTCTTTCAGAACTCCCCCTTAAAACTGTGGCTAAGGCTTTAGAAGACAACAAAAAAATCTTTGCAAACAATCCACAAAAAGTGTATCCTGAAGAAGCAAGCATGAAAACTGAACAGGCCATTAAGCCATCACACATGGGTTCTCAAAACAGGCCACCACAAAATAAATTTCAGGCCAATTATAGACAAAATGTAATGGGGAAATCAACCGGAGCCAGAAAGCGAACTACTCTTCTGGAAATGGTAACTGCAATTGTTCTGTATTATTTACGTGTCTGTGTATCACTACAGCTTGTCCTGGACATCCTAGAAAATTATGCTCACATATTCTTCTTCAGTTTGTACTGCTTTCATTCCTTTATATATCCAAGCCAGCTTTGCCATCTGTAGGCACTTCTGTTTTTATAACTGATTTTTTGTATATTTGTTCTGCAGAGGTATGGCTTTTTTTAAAAAAAAAAAAAAAGAGACCTGAACCAATGGCATTATGAGGCCATACATTGTTGACCTCCTTCTGAAAATGTAAGATGTCTGGCTGTTTCTGACAGCAGTACCTTTTTAGGAATCCCAGATCAAGAACAAGCATGCTGCAAGTCAGAACACCTGATCTCCATGCACATTCCTGGTCTATTCCTACAGAAGCAATTGTGGCTATAGGATCAGCATGATGGGCAACTAGCATGTTCAGAAGCAGAGATTAGCAATAAAAGCCTACTTATATCTCTCAAAACAAGTTTCCTTTAGATCTCATTCACAAGGGCATGCCGTTCTGTACACCTGTATGAAGATCTGCCTTTACCTGTGCAGGTTGCACAGGTGTTCCATGCAGACAACCCCTTGAATCAATGATAGGCAAATCTGCACAGATTTCCAAAAGCATCCCCAACTGTACATCCTTGCGGTACTGATGTTCCGATCAGAAAGCAGTCTGTCTGGACATTAGAACACCAACGTGCATTCACAGTGGAAAATGAAGTATATATGTATGCTGCTGTTGGTGGCATTGTATGGTGGGAGGCTGGGGTGCAGCATTTGAGATGAACAAAATTGGAAAAGCAGAAAATACAGTATAAACATTCAAAAGAAGCAGGAAATGGCCTTAGGTAAGAACACAAGTGCAAGAATAAGGAATGCGGAATCTGCAACAAATTCACACATGCTTTGAAAGCTAGAACAGCAGCAGTGTTAAAGAACTGTATTATTACACAATAATGGATGTTTTTACAGAAAAGATGTGGGCATTGGCAGAAGGGGTTCACTGCAACTGTACTTTGCTTTAAAGTGGTCCATGGAGTCTAGAGAACTGTTGAACTATATAAACATACAGAGGAAGAGTACACTGTATATTCTGTATAGTACATTGGATTTGAAGTACAAATACCTCAAAGATATATTAGGCCGGTTCATTCTGAACTTAGAAACCAGTGGTTTTTGCCTGCATTTATACAAATGCGTGAAAAACGTGCATGTTTATGATATGATATTCCATGGCCCTCAGCTTTGTACTGAGTGGTACTCCCATTTTTAAGATCCCATGCTTTCAGGGATGAAGGTCTGAAATGCAGAAGACCTTATTTATTTTCACACAAGACTTGCACAACATTTACCCAGGTTTCACTTGTTTGGATTCAGTTGGGAAAATGTGTAAATCCTGGGTGAAATTTGTTTGAATCTTGTGTGAAAACATTTATAAATAGACCCTTTAGGCTGGCCATACATTGAGTGATTCTTTCCTTCAACCCATGGTTGAAGGAAAGAAATTGCATAATTTCTCTTCCACACAGTCTATGTTGATAGGGCAATCCTTCCTGATGCCCTGTTTTATTCTGACAATGGGATGTTTCCCAGCCATCAGAATACAATGATCACCAAAACCTGACAAGCTGGTTGTACTGAAGTTCATTGATCAAATTCAGTACAACCAGCCTATTCATAGATGGATTGAAATCTGGCCAGTTGCTTCTGAACCGGAGGCCCTTGTTGAGGGCATGTGACCTGGTTTGGTTCAGGTGTGGGGGAGATGCCGGGCTGCATGCTCAGATAAGGGTCTGGAATGGATTGGGATGGATTTTTATTTTTTTTTAACTTTCATATTGGCGTGGGGTACCCCTGTACTTCATACCAGATCCAAAGGGCCTGGCAAGGATTTGGGGGGGGGGGGGGGGGGGGGGGTTCTCCTTTTTTTTTTTTTTTTTTTTTTTTTTTTTTTTTTTTTTTTTTTTTTTTTCTGTGCATGGCCAAGTTGCAGTACATTGAAATCGCATTGAGTTTGCACTGAAGTTGCGCTTAAACTGGACCAAATCGCACCACTTTGACGTTGCACCCAGTGTGAGCCAAGGCTTACTGTTGACTGACTCAGTACCTCTGTTGGAAGTCCATTCCAAGTATTAACCACTCTTTCAGTAAAATAATACTTTATAAGATTAGTTTTGAACTTTCCTCCAGTTAGTTTGAGATTATGTCCCTTGGTTTCATATTGAAAATACTACCCTCTTGAACCTTATTCACCCCCTTGATATATTTAAAGGTTTCAGTCATGTCTCCCCTTTCCCTTCTTTCCCTCAGACTGAGCATCTTAAGTGTCTCTTGATTTGTTTTATTCCCCAGACCTTTCGCCATTTTTGTTACCCGTCTCTGAACTTGTTCTATCTTATCAATATCTTTTTGTAAGTGAGGTCTCCAGAACTGGACACAGTTCTAAATAAGGTCTCATTAAGATCTATGTAGGGGAATCGGACCACCTTCCTCCTGCTGGTGCCCCTCTAGTGATACATCTTAGAATTCTATTTTGTTTTTCCCACTTCCTGGTCACATTGTTTGCTCATTTTACAATAATCTGAAAAATAGGTACCTCCAAATCTTTTTCCTCCCTAGCACTGACCAAGCCTGTACCCCCAATATTCTGTAAAAGGTTTCTTTTTCCCTAGGTGCATTATTTTACATTTAGAAACATTGCTTTGACCAATCTTTCAGTAATGCCAAATAATTTTTAATGTTAGACACCTCTAGAGATATCTTACCCTATTACACACCTTTGTATCATCAGCAAAAAGACAAATCTTACCAAACATCCCTTTTAGTTATATCACTCCCCTATAGATTAAGACAGGACCTTTGTGGTCTATTCTTCTTAATTGTCCTTTATGCTGTATGTTGTCTCCTAGCGCCATCCCCCACCTGTGAATCATAGTGCATAGTTTTCTGACATTTAAAAAAATGATGTAGTCCTGTTTGTGCTATGATAAACCAAACCCCTTTCCGTGTGCAGTTAACAGCCAAAAGACATTGAGCGCAACTGATTCTATTCTTGACGAAGCATGCATTTACTATTATTTGATGTATAACCCTTCTTAAAAATGGTCACACTTTTTTTTTTTTTTTTCCCTCTTCCCTCATACCTGGGGCTACTAGTTGCTTTATTGTTCCATTATTTGATTGGAGTTTAATTTGATGAATAAATATTTTTGTTTTTGTAGTTGCTGGCACGGGACATACGCCATGAAAGAAATGTGATTTTACAGTGTGTGAAGTACATTTACCACAACAACTTTTTTGACTGCTCACGGGATGGCACTAATAATGTGATAAATGAACATTCTTCAGGAAACACCAAAGATTTAAGCAATACAGAGACTAAATCTGACCTGCGAAATGGACAAGATGTCGATGTTGCTAAAGAGAAGCCTAGTCCAGGCCCGTTTGTGAGGCATTTAGAACCCTTGGATGATGAAATTTGGGAGACAAATATTAACTGTATCGAGACATTTGCTGTTTAATATATATTTATAGAATGCAGGATTTTGTTTTTTTTTTTGTTGTTTTTTTGGTTTAACTTTATATATTTTTTCCAATTGAATTATTCACCCAATACAGTTTAAGGAAGGCCCCAGTCATTACTGTATATTATTATTATTATTATTATTTTTTTTTTTTGTAAGAATCTAATCGGGTAGGCGGTGCACATACAAGTGGTGTTTTTTTTTTTTTTTTTTTTTTTTTTTTTTTTTTTGTTATTGATGTTTCTCTGGTAACCTCTTTACCTCACTGCTTTCTTAAGTGTTTTTAGGATTGTCCATAGGAGTCATTGGAGTCAAATCCAAGTTTGACATAGAGAAGCAGGAAAGGAAGGTGAAGGAAGTGATCTTAAGAGAAATTTTGTTACTGAATCTAAATAGAGGTATCAAATATGGGTATTTTTTCATAATACCCTGTTATCCCTCATTAGAACATTGTATAAATTTGGGTGGAAGCCTTAAACTACTGCTGGGGTGAGATACAAACTCTATGGTACAATTTGTGGCAGAGCAGATATCTGTCTCCTTACCCCATAGATATGTAAGAGGACTACTATAAACAAGTAAAATCGGCATTGAAGAAGCTTTACTAATAAAAAAAAAAAAAAAAGCACACAGCGGTGGAACTATAAAATATACAAATATATAGTATTTATATAGTTTTGTCTGTGTACTATATAGTGTAATTCTCCAGAGTGGAGTACAAACTATGATAAAATGTAACCAGCATCTTTTGCATGCTGTCCTTTTCACTGCCAAGGTGTGTTACAATAGGCAGTGAGCATATTATTGTCAGATATAATAAATCTGTTTTCATTATTATAAAACAAATCATACATGTTGTGTTGTCTGTCTTTGTTCATGATGGCTTTCAAGAAGAATTCCAGGTATGGCATTGTACATTGTTACATCAGTCCAGCTTGTAACTATGTATATACCATACCTGTGGGATCCCCATGGAAGCTAAAAATAACTGTAGTAGACACTGCTAATGCCACTAGCTTCTGGGTCCTGTGCTGGGCGGCTGCATTGTGAACACTGGAGGTTGGCTGCTCAGCACAGGTGCCATTTAGAGAAAGTTATGCAAAAAGTGTCTTCTGATTGGATGAGGTGGAGGGGCAGGGTGGTGACTATGTAACTTAACTGTAATTGTTTAAAAATGCCATGACTTGATCTCTTCTTTAAACAATGAGATTTATTTTATGTTATCCAGCTTAAAACATCTCTAGCCCAGGATGAAAAGAGAGAGATTATTTTAAAGCAATACGTTGACAAAGTAAAAGTGTGCTAAGCGAAGTATGTGGGCTACCATTGCTGACTTCTGAAAATGCCAGCTGCCTGGTTGAAATTGCTAGTCTAGCTACTTTGAGTCGCCATGTGGAACCAGTATACAGATAAAGATCTCTGTATTTTTCTGTCAGCGACTCAAGTATTGGAGCCAGATGATCAGCTAGGCAATTTGTGTTTTCATAGGATGATCAGCTATGGCAGCCTACTGTGCCTTGAAAAAATATTCATACCCTTTAAAATTTTCCACATTCTGTCATGTTGCAACCAAAAACGTAAATGCATTTTATTGGATTTTTATGTGATAGACCAACACAAAGTGGCACATAATTGTGAAGTAGAAGGAAAATGATAAATGGTTTTCAAAAGTTTTTACAAATATCTGAAAAGTGTGGCTTGCATTTGTATTCAGCCCCCTTTACTCTGATACCCCTAACTAAAATCCAGGGGAACCAGTTACCTAATTAGTAAATAGTCCACTTGTGTGTAATTTAGTCACTGTATAAATACAGCTGTTCTGTGCCCTCAGAGGTTTGTTAGAGAACATTAGTGAACAAACAGCATCATGAAGGCCAAGGAACACATCAAACAGGTCAGGGATAAAGTGGTGGAGAAGTTCAAAGCTTGGTATGTTATGTATGTATGGATATATAGATATTAGTCAGGTCCATAAATATTGGGACATCGACACAATTCTAACGTTTTTGTCTCTATACACCACAATGGATTTGAAATGAAACGAACAAGATGTGCTTTAACTACAGACTGTCAGCTTTAATTTGAGGGTCTTTACATCCAAATCAGATGAACGGTGTAGGAATTACAACAGTTTGCATATGTGCCTCCCACTTGTTAGGGGACCAAAAGTAATGGGACAGAATAATAATCATAAATCAAACTTTCACTTTTTAATACTTGGTTGCAAATCCATTGCAGTCAATTACAGCCTGAAGTCTGGAAAGTATAGACATCACCAGACGCTGGGTTTCATCCCTGGTTATGCTCTGCCAGGCCTCTACTGCAACTGTCTTCAGTTCCTGCTTGTTCTTGGCTCATTTTCCCTTCAGTTTTGTCTTCAGCAAGTGAAATGCATGCTCAATCGGATTCAGGTAAGGTGATTGACTTGGCCATTGCATAACATTCCACTTCTTTCCCTTAAACTCTTTGGTTGCTTTTGCAGTATGCTTTGGGTCATTGTCCATCTGCACTGTGAAGCGGCGTCCAATGAGTTCTGAAGCATTTGGCTGAATATGAGCAGATAATATTGCCCGAAACACTTCAGAATTCATCCTGCTGCTTTTGTCAGCAGTCACATCATCAATAAATACAAGAGAACCAGTTCCACTGGCAGCCATACATGCCCATGCCATAACACTACCACCACCATGCTTCACTGATGAGCTGGTATGCTTAGGATCATGAGCAGTTCCTTTCCTTCTCCCTACTCTTCTCTTCCCATCACTCTGGTACAAGTTGATCTTGGTCTCATCTGTCCATAGGATGTTGTTCCAGAACTGTGAAGGCCTTTTTTTAGATGTCGTTTGGCAAACTCTAATCTGGCCTTCCTGTTTTTGAGGCTCACCAATGGTTTACATCTTGTGGTGAACCCTCTGTATTCACTCTGGTGAAGTCTTCTCTTGATTGTTGACTTTGACACACATACACCTACCTCCTGGAGAGTGTTCTTGATCTGGCCAACTGTTGTCAAGGGTGTTTTCTTCACCAGGGAAAGAATTCTTCGCTCAGCCACCACAGTTGTTTTCTGTGGTCTTCCAGGTCTTTTGATGTTGCTGAGCTCACCGGTGTGTTCCTTCTTTTTAAGAATGTTCCAAACAATTGTTTTGGCCACGCCTAATGTTTTTGCTATCTCTCTGATGGGTTTGTTTTGTTTTTTCAGCCTAATGATGGCTTGCTTCACTGATAGTGACAGCTCTTTGGATCTCATCTTGAGAGTTGACAGCAACAGATTCCAAATGCAGATAGCACACTTGAAATTAACTCTGGACCTTTTATCTGCTCATTGTAATTGGGATAATGAGGGAATAACACACACCTGGCCATGGAACAGCTGAGAAGCCAATTGTCCCATTACTTTTGGTCCCTTAACAAGTAGGAGGCACATATGCGAACTGTTGTAATTCCTACACCGTTCACCTGATTTGGATGTAAATACCCTCAAATTAAAGCTGACAGTCTGCAGTTAAAGCACATCTTGTTTGTTTCATTTCAAATCCATTATGGTGGTGTATAGTGCCAAAAATGTTAGAATTGTGTTGATGTTTCAATATTTATGGACCTGACTGTATATATTTCTAACCCTGCTTTAACCGCTTCCCGCCAGCCATATAAGGTAAGGGCAGGTGCAAGGTGGTTCTCGTGCTGGGAGGGCGTCATATGACATCCTTCCACTCTAACCGCTCGTATGTGGTGAATGGTGGTGCGCTGTGTCCCTTGGACACAGCGGATCAATGGAAAGAGCCAAAGATGTCGGCTTGGTCATGTGATCAGTTGTGTCCAATCACAGCTGATCGCATGTAAATAGGGAAATGTCGGTTATCGGAATTTCTCTCTCTCCTCATGAGCTGTCACGCTGACGGCTCGAGAGGAGAGCCGGTAATCGGCATTCCACAGAAAGGACATGTACACTGATCCTCAGTGTAGCCCCAGCAGTGCCATCTGCCAGTGCCCATCAGTGTCACCTATCAGTGATGCCTGTCAATGCCCATCAGTACCACCTAGCAGTGTCTCCTCATCAGTGCTGCCCATCAGTACCACCTACCAGTGTCTCCTCATCAGTGCTGCCCATCAGTGCCCATCACTGCAGCCTCATTAGCGCACATCAGTGAAGGAGAAAAATCACTTTACAAAATTTTATAGCTAAAACTTTTTTTTTTCTTCAAAATTTTCAGTTTTTGGTTTGTTTAGCAAAAAATAAAAAACTCAGGTGATTAAATACCACCAAAAGAAAGCTCTATCTGTCTAAAAAAAATGATAAACATTTCATATGGGTACAGTGTTGCATGACCGTGCAATTGTCATTCAAAGTGCGACAGCACTGAAAGCTGAAAACTGGCCTGGGCACGAAGGGGGGTATAAGTGCCCTGTAGGCAAGTGGTTAAGCATCTCATGGAGCACTGTTCAATCCATTATCTGAAAATGGAAAGAGTATGGCACACCTGCAAACCTACCAAGACATGGCTGTCCACCTAAACTGACAGGCAGGGTAAGGAGAGCATTAATCAGAGCAGCAGCCAACAGGCCCATGGTAACTCTGGAGGAGCTGCAGAGATCCACAGCTTAGGTGGGAGAATATGTCTTTATGAAAGAGTGGCAAGAAGAAAGCCAGACATACAGCCAGAGCTACAGTGGAATGGTTTAGATAAAAGCATATTCATGTGGTAGAAGGGCAAGACTTTAAAATTGCTGTTCACAGACTCTCTCCATCCAATCTGACAGAGCTTGAGCTATTTTGCAAAGAAGAATGGGCAAACTTTTCACTCTCTAGAATTGCAAAGCTGGTAGAGACATGCCAAAAAAGACTTGCAGCTGTAATTGCAGCAAAAGGTGGTTCTACAAAGTATTGACTCGGGGGCTGAATACAAATGCATGCCACACTTTTCAGATATTTATTTGTAAAACATTTTAAAAACCATTTATTATTTTCCTTCCACTTCACAATTATGTGCCACTTTGTG